CTGTGCGAGGAGGAACAGCCAGGACCAGGCTGTGAAAATCAAACATAGTGGTGAACAGATGACGTTGTCGCCGTCAAGGTGACAAGTTCGGGCTGCAAAGGTGCGAACTGGCGCTGTGCCACCAGCGGCCATGCGGATCAGTGTCATTACGGTGGTTTATGGGGACAAATATGCTGGCCCCACTCAGGAAATGCCTTCGTAGGACTTGATGTTGGCATGGCTCTCACAGGGAGACCTTACGGTGGAGCAAAGGATGGGATTTGGCAACCTTGCTTTTGTTTCATGTGATGATTCTTGTGCGTTTAGGACACAAGGGTTATTCAGTGGGTCCTGGGAGTCTAAAGACTCCTGAAGGATTCTGGAAAAATAACTGAGAGGAGAAGTAAACCTAGTGTAGTAGCCTTAAATACGATACACGGGGCCATGTGCCGTACTTGGAAAGTTTTAGGGGCCACAGGTTGGGAAAAGACTGAAAAACCACTGGAGCAGCAAATGGATGTATCGTCTAAGTTCTTATGAACAGGTCATTTGACAAAAGTACCGCTTAAAAAATGTTAAATTGGATTAGATTAATTTTTTAGCATGAGAAATTGTGGGGTTTAGGTCTTGTTCATTAACTACACCAGGCACTGGACTTAGTAATTTCTTAACTGTATTTCAAGAAGCTGCAGCGTCCCTCAGTGCAGTTCAGGGTCTGGCCAAGTTCTCATTTTTATCCCAAGGGGATGGCCCGTGCTCCCAGGCCAGGTTTGGGCAGAGCTGCACTCTCACTGAGCTCTCTTACCCTTCTAGCTCTGGACTCTGTGAGCCAGGACTGGGGCTGATGGCCAGGAGCTCATTGCTTGCTCTGTCAGAGCCAAAGGGAGAGGCGAGGGGTGTCTGTTATTCTGCATTTGGGGTATCTACATCTGTACTGTGGAATCAACCCCCAGAGCTCGTCGTTGTGTGCTCCACACCAGGCTGTGTGTGAGCCGCTCCATTTGCACCAGTAGCCACAGGAAGCTCTCAGTCATGTGTTTTTGAACCTTCTGATTACATCTTTTCTTTGCCTAAGAAAACGCAGCCTGTGTAGGAGGCGGAGATAACTCAGTGTCGTGATCTGCTGCCTTCCTTTGCTGGTAGCTCTGAAGTGCAGGACAGATCAGACACGGGTGTTGAAAAACATCATCACCCTGGGAAGGATGAATGTCTCCCTTGTGATGGGCCTGAGCTGTGCCTAGAGGAAGGAGGTGGGGACAGACATTGCTGTGCCCTGCAGCAAAGGAGTGGGCGAGGTGAATTCGGTACTTAGTTGACCTTGGCGCCAGACTGGCTTATCTGGGTCCGCTCCGATGCCCTGGGGGCTCCCAGATGGAGTGCCTTGGAACGGGAGGCGTGAGGCAGGGGGCAGATGTACTGAGCTGCTGTCGCTTCTCCCGAGCAGTGTTCCCTCTGTCCCAGCAGTCACAGCTTTTTCATTTTAATGGTGTTTCATCGTGTCTCACAGAGGGCTGACATTAAGCCAGCAGCCCCTGGCACTGCTCGAGTCTCTGGGGTAGAGCACATTACCCGGTCCAAGGCTTGGTTGCCTCTCTCTACAAGCTAAAGGCATACATCAGATGTTTCTGTAATGCCCTGGCACAGACCAGACCCCCAGTCTGGGAAAGCGCCACGCTCCTGCAGGCCGGACATGAAGCTGTGTGAGCGTTTTCTACCTGTAACAAGCTGGGACATGATGTGACATTGTGGGAGACCCTGCAGCCATTCACCCTGCTCCCTGCGCTCTGACCACCCGCATAGGCTTTTCCATTCACTGGGCTTGTCTCAACATGCCAGCCTTGAAGAATTCTTCCCTTTCCCCCGTTCCCCCCTATCCCCCCGGCTTGGTCTTTTTCTTCGCTTTCTGCTGTTTCTCTGCATTTTGTTTTTGGCAAAAGATATTCCCCAACAATGGACAAAGGCTTCAGCCATGCAAGAGGAATGCTTTGCTCAAGAAATGAAATAATGGCCACTTTGTGGGGGCTCTCCCTGGGTCCTTCCATACACGTCCCTGCCAGCAGCCCCATTTCTTGGGGACAGCTCTCTGCGTCTTTCCAGAGCTCAGCTGGACTGACCCACTGCAGTCTGGCATCCCACAGCAGCCCCCAACAATGGACAAAGGCTTCAGCCATGCAAGAGGAATGCTTTGCTCAAGAAATGAAATAATGGCCACTTTGTGGGGGCTCTCCCTGGGTCCTTCCATACACGTCCCTGCCAGCAGCCCCATTTCTTGGGGACAGCTCTCTGCGTCTTTCCAGAGCTCAGCTGGACTGACCCACTGCAGTCTGGCATCCCACAGCAGCCTATTCATTCTGCCATGAGCAGAGTAGGGAAATGGGCTGGCTTGTGTTCCTGCCAGCAAGAGAACAAGAGGTGTGCAGTCCCTGTGGGTTTTAAACTGGTTTGGTTGAGACTTGTCCTTCCTTCGGCAGGTCTCGTGGGTGAGGGAGGGGAAGTGAAGGGATCCGACCGGTCTCTGGGAACCAGAAAAAGCAGTCCAGTGAAAGATCAGATTCCGCTGGAAGCAGCCCTAGCATGGGAGTGGAAAAGGAGCACTGAGCCCAGCCCAAGGGGTTTCTGCGTGGGGGATTGTTTTTAGTACCCACAGGTGAATGGCTGCCAAACATTTGCACCACGTTGTTCAAAACTCTGTGAATAGTTGAATGGAACACTAGGTGCCCAGTTCAGCCTTTATGCTGATTTTCACATGTTCCAGATCCTTGGTGAGTGCAAGCTGGTATCACTCCTGTGTAACAGTGAATGCAGCCCAAGGTGCTGGCAGTGAGCTGATAAGAAAAGTCCTGTGTCATTTCCTCTCCCTCCCCCGAACAAACCCCAAGAGCTGATTCCTCATTGCAAACTGATTTGGTTAAACAGAGATTAGCTTGATTTACTTTCACATCAATCTCGCCACCAGCCACATCGCTGCTCCCATGGGCGCCCCTGCACCACGCTGCCACACCAGCACGGCTCCTGCTGTGGTCAGCCTGGTGTCAGCACATCTCCCTGCTGGCTGGGGGGCACTGGCAGCAGCACCACCAGAAGCCTTTGGTCCAGGCTGTGCTCCTGAAGCAGCCCCCAGTCCTGGCTGATAGAGTGTTTTTGGCCCAGGCTGACTTCTACCTTAGAAAATGCAGCTTCCAAACCCTGCCTAGGCAGAAAACAACCTTCTAGGGACCTTCCCTACAACTCAAACATTGCCTCTCGGCCATAGCCCCAAAGGCAAACATACCTGAAGCAGTGTGTGGTGCAGGGAACAAACAGAAAGCCTTTGGGTAGTGCAGCGGACTCTCACCAGCTGCGCAGGCATTTTACCTGGCCCTGGCTGTCACAGGGGGTTCAGCCTCACACAGGCAGCTTCTTGAACGGGTACCTGCTCTAGCAGCCAAGTCTGAATAGCAAAAGGAGCCTATAGTGACAGACTGCTAGGACAAGGTGCTTTTGAAAAGAGTTTGTGCTGGCCAGGCATATACAGGACTGCCATGAACATCTCCTGCTGCTGTTCTCTGCACTGCCAGAACCTTGTTGCACATCACTCCTGCCTTTAATAAAAGCCTTGGCTGCATTTAGCACTGAAGTACTAGATTAAAACCCCTTTTAGTCCTTTTTTGTCTCAGATTGTTTTCCCTTCCTCTCCCCAGAATTCCAGGAAGCTTTTCATTCCCAGCTGAAAGATTGTGCTGGGTTGGTGTACAGCCACATACTTTGAGAGGAGCCACTCTCCTGAGATTCCTGGCATTGATCAATTGACCAATAACCTGTGAAGCAAATGGGCCAGGTTTTGGCTCAATCAAAGTCAATCTCAACAGCAGCAGATCCTAATGTGTATTAGCCTGCCTGGAATCTGGAGCCCACTTCTTTGTTCAGCTTATTTAATTGGTGATATGTCAGTTGTTAGATTTGCCCTGCAGTGTTATCCACAAGCTGTGGGACCCAGGATGTTCCCTGGAAAATCATTCCTGCAGTGGCTGAGGTGTAGTGGGATTTGCCATGTGAAAGCTCATAGTGAAATGGTGACAAAAACAAGTTCCTGTGGTTTGGGCTGTGTTTTTGCAGGGAGCTAAAATGCAAGATCAACCAGGAGAGCAGCAAGAGAGAGTTCCTGACAAATCAGTCTCACCTCAATGAAACCCACTGCGTCCACTGCCTCCAGCCCTTCAAGTTCCTGCTCAACAGCAAGCGGCAGTGCCAGGACTGCCACTTCTTCACCTGCAAGAACTGCAGCCGCTACAACAAGAAGGAGCAAGGCTGGGTCTGCGATCCCTGCCGGCTCTCCAGGTACCGCCGCTGCCACGGAGGATGAGGGGCAAGGCAAGCCCTGGGGCTGAGGCTCAAGAAGGGTCGCCCAAACTCAGCATCCCTTTATGCTGCTTAGAAACCAATTCTGTTGACTATAAACGAAACTGTGGTTTTGGCAAGAGATGGTTTCTGGGTGAGGGGCTGGTCACCACAGGTGTGGCCAGACTGGTTCACCTAGTATGTATGCGCACTGTGTCTTTGGGCAGGATCGTGAAGATTGGATCCCTGGAGTGGTACTATGAACACGTGAGGTCCCGTTTCAAGAGGTTTGGAAGTGCCAAAGTGCTGCAGTCCCTCTATGGCAGGCTGCAGCCGGGGCATGGCGCCAGCTCCACGTTCCTAGGTGAGGAGGGGCACCGGGGTTTCTCCTGTCCTGCTGCACACGGGGAGTCTGCACAGTCCGTGCTGGGATGCGCCAAGGGGGGACAATGAGCACTGATGCCCCTCTGAGTGCTTTGTAGCTTCCAGATCATTCAAAACATGCTGGGCAGGAAGCAGAGGGTCAGAGGTGTGTGTTCATCATACTGAGGGCAGCAGAGCACATGTTCTTGGAGGATGCTCCGAGGGCTGGAGCAGCTCTGCTGTGAAAACAGGCTGAGAGAGCTGGGCTGGGGCAGCTGGAGAAGAGAAGGCTCCTGAAGGGGACACCTTAGAGCAGCTCCAGTGCCTAAAGGGGCTCCAGGAAACCTGGAGAGGGGCTTTGGACAAGGGATGGAAGGGACAGGACAAGGGGAATGGCTTGAACCTGCCAGAGGGGAGGCTGAGATGAGCTCTGAGGCAGCAGCTCTTCCCTGTGAGGGTGCTGAGGCGCTGGCACAGGGTGCCCAGAGAAGCTGTGGCTGCCCCATCCCTGGCAGTGTTCAAGGGCAGGTTGGACACAGGGGCTTGGAGCAACCTGCTCTAGTGGAAGGTGTCCCTGCCCGGGGCAGGGGTTGGAGCTGGAGGAGCTTTAAGGTCCCTTCAACCCAAACCATTCCATGATTCTATGTTTTTTAGCTCTGTTAAGATTGATATTTTTACCACAGAGTTGAGAATATCTTGTGCTTAGTTTTAACAAGCCTCACGTCCTGCAGTTTGTAAGTATATAAGAGTTGCAGCTCTTGTTTTTCTTTCTTTTAGCTCTTTTTGTCACAAGGGAGAGCTTGTGACATTAACCCAAGTTTAACCTGCAGGGCCTGTAAATCCCACTGGCTGGATAAGGCAGCACTTACTGTTTCCCTTGATCTAATGACTTTTACAGCTGATCTGGTGATGGTCTGGCACTGGCAAAACAGTATCAAAACTACTGAGTTTCCTGTCTCCATGATTGTTTTCTCCAGAGCTTTATGGAACTTCAGTGTTCCTGATATTGGTCAATAGCGCGTGAACATGTGCTGAAAGCTGCTGTTAATATGGTGTTATTTACTGGGTAGCTGCTAATTGCCATTCACACATACTTTGCCTGGTGCTTTTGAAAACCAGTGTGGATTTTATTCCTTTTCTGAGGAGCCACAGGAAAGTTTGCACAAATACCATAGACTTGAGTGATCCAGCTGGTCCAGCCTTACCCAGACCACTCATGGCAGAAATAATCAGAAAGAGCATGAAGGGTGGTGGCATTAAACATATAGTTAATGCAGTGGGAGACAGACAATTCATGCAGCATTCAGTCTGAAAACGCATCAGACCACAGAGAAAGGACAATCAGAGAAAACCAAGCTAAGCGTGAGGATGACAGTGCTTCAGGCTTCTTTGCATTGAGAGCCTGATGCCTTTTTTTAAAATGAATTATTTTATTGTTATTACTTCATTAGCACCAGTGAATTGGCTTGACCCTTAAGCAAGAAAGAACCTCCACCTGGAGCCTGTCTCTGGTTGCAGGAGAAGGAGCAGAATGATGTGAAACCGCTGTGTTTTAGGTGGCCATCTGCTGCTGCACTGCCCGGCGTGTTGCATTAGGGCTGTGGAAGTGGTGACAATAAGGTCTTGGGGTTTTAAAAGTCAAGTTCTGTCTCAAAGTGCTTCTTTTATTCTGTCTTTCTGATGTCTCTGCCTTGTGATGGCTGAAGAATGAGGGCTGCGGTTGCCATAGCTCTGAGGCTTGTTCTCTCAGAGGTACCTGGAGAAAATGTGCTTACTTATTTTTCCCACAATTTTTCTTTTCACTTAGGTCATCAGGACAGAGTTTACAGCCTGCCAGACATTAACAGTGAGTACAGAAGAGAATTGCAGCATGTGACTCCCAGTTCAAGAGAGGTTTCTAATGTCTTTTCCTCTTCACACCCTCTGGCTATGGGCTCTCTGCTGTGGTTTGGTGTGGCTGGACCAGGGAAAACATCTCTCCACTGCAGTGGAGATGGATTATAATACTTGTCTCTTGCACTGCTGTACACATGGGGTGTCAGACCATAGACTTGGATATAACAGGGCTTTTAGCTACATGCCAAACTTGAAGCCTGCAAGTACTCATCATCTCAATGCACTTAAGTAATACACTTAAAGCTGGCCATATTCTTAAGGGACCAACTGAATTTAGGACTTCACGTTGCGTTCCTTAGGAGCCCTTGCAGGAGAAATTCACTGCACCTTGCCATTTGATATAAGAAAACATTTTTCCTACCTTAACTTTGGACTTGGTCTGCATTTGTGTTGTTCCCAATATACTGCTGGGCTTGACAATGATCTGGGTACGGAGATGAGGACTGGAAAGGAGTGGGTCACAGATAGCAGAGCTGGCTGATAGAAACCAGGACAAGCAGAGGCTGAGCTGTGGTGCCTTCAAACACCGGAGTCACTCGGGTGGACCTCGGGGTGCTCTCTGTGGTGCAGGTGTCCTTCGTCTCCCTTTAGTGATCACTTCCACACCTTTGGTAGTGCACATCTGGAAGGGGAAGCAATGAGAGGCCGGCTGAGCTTTTGCAAGATCAAGTGGGTATCTGCAATGCTGCCTGAGAACTGCATCCAAAAGAGCTTCCACCCTCCAAACCTTAGACTGTGGTCAGTGCAGGCCAGCTGCAGCACTGGGGCAACCTTAAAATGTTCCTGTCCTTTTCCCATCCTTTGTCCCCTTCCCTTAACTTGTGCAGTCTACTGGTCATGGCGTAGTATGCAAAAAAAACCCCTAACCTGAAACCCCTGTGGGTAATATTTCTGATGGAACATTAGAATAGAAAAGAACAGAATAGAGTATTAATTAGATGTAAGAAATTCCTCACCATGAGGGTGCTGAGGCGCTGGCACAGGGTGCCCAGAGAAGCTGTGGCTGCCCCATCCCTGGCAGTGTTCAAGGCCAGGTTGGACACAGGGGCTTGGAACAA